CAGCAACTGTGTAAGGCAAGTGATGTTAGCTTCCTTATTTTGCAGATGACGAAACTGAAGCTTGGAGAGGTTAAATGAGGTACAGCTAATAAACATGATTCAGACCAATTCTCCAACTCCAAAGGCAAGCAAGCCAGCATGCTCAGAATCCTCAAACATGAGGGCAGCCACGTCACCTTGCCCTGGGATGGGACCTTTGTAAGAAGCCATAGTGGCTACGGCAGTGAGCTGAGGCTTGAAGACAGCAATCTGGCCTGCGCCAAGACCCCTACCAAGAGGCGTCATAAATGCTCTTTAGGCGGAGTGGAGGCAAAGGGAGACCCACAAGGGAAGGGGAGCTGGCTTCCTCCAACTCCAGGGCCTCCTGTCTCCTCTAGCTTAAAAGAGGGCAGAAAAGCTGAAACACACCCACAGGAGGTTAAAGGGTGCCCCCACCTGCAAAGGGGAGGGACCTGAAGGTGACTAGGGAACAGAATGGATGCTGAGGATGAGGACCAGAGCAGTGGAAGTTTGAAAGCCACTGGAACAGTGCAGGAAAACTCTGGGTCAGGATCTGGCTCATGGCTTCCGTTCCTCCTGCATTCGTCCCAAGGAGGAAGGCATGAGCAGGTGTGGCAGGAAAACTCTAGTGAGTGTCAACCACTGAAAATGTTAAAATGGGAGAGAGAGATCAGTGACGGTGGTAAGGAAGGGCTCCATAGAAAGATATTCCACATATACATGCTACCCACATATCTAATATATAGCACCATATATGTGTGTATACATGTGGATGTATGTATAAGCATGTATATGTGTGCCTATGCATGCATGCGTGTATATGTGTGTTTGTGTGTGCATATATGTGTGTATATGTGTGCATATGTATGTAGATGTTTGTGTGTGAATATATGTGTGTGTCTATATGGTTTTGCATGTGTGTATATATGTGTATGTGTATTTGTGTATATATGTGTATGTGTGTGTATACATATATATGTATGTATATGCATGTGTGTGCATGTGCTTTCAGAGACCCATAGGGGGCAAAAGCACAAGATGCCTACTGCTGTTTCATCAGAGACAAGCTGGCACATAAAGAAAAGCTTACATATACATTTAGGGGCTATGGCTTCATTCTCTCTTCTTGGCCAATAACAATTAGACCCTCACTGCATTCCATTATGTTCCACCTTCCCTGAAGAGGATGAACCACACATTACTGTGTGCCCTTAAACATATCACAACTCCTCTGAGCTTCAGTTTTCTTATCTGCCAAGGAAAAAACAAAGTTTAGCCTACCTAAGTCAGTTCATTGCCGTAGGATGATAATAACAGCTGACATCATACATTTAAACACTGTCCATATATTAATTCATTTAATCCTCAGAATAGCTCTATGAGATTGGTACTGTCATTACCCCCCATTTGACAGAGATGGAAACTGAGGCACAGAACACTTTCATAACTTGCCCAGTGTCACCCATCAAAGAAGGGATTTGAACCGCGACGATCTGGCTCCAGCAACTGGGCTCTTAACCCCTTTGTTAAATAGCAAGATGTCTGAAAGCACTGAAGGTGTTTGAAAATGCTGTGTAAATGAATGGTGCTATTCTTATTCTTGCTAGGACTACTCCCACTGGGAAGGATGCAATGCAGGGTCAGGATTCCCCGGGTGAGGATAAATCCTGCAGCCTCAGATCTGCAGCCCTGCTACCAGGTACCATGCTTCCAGTGGCACGTCCTCTCTGCCCCTCCCAACTGCGGGACTGTCTTCCTATGTTCTTTTTCAAAGCAGTGTCTCTGCTGCCAAGAGCAGGTTTGTCTGTCTCCTGGAGACAGCGGTTGTCAAGCCCTGAGAGAAAGCAAGCATGTCAAAAATAGCAGCGCCGGCAGACTGCGTGGCTGCGATTTCCTTTTGAAATGTCGGCTTTGCTCTCACCAAAGAGCCAGGGTCTGTCTGCGTTCCTTGCAGCCATTAAGATTCCAAAATGTTTTCTAGGAGGAGGCAAAGTGTATCTGCTGAGTCTCGTGACCAAGGAATGAGGAATTCTCTTTAGGGTGACAATGATGAGATTGGAGTTGGGTTTAAACATTTTTTTTTAATAAATCCCAGCAGGGCTAGGCCCCAGACAGGTCCACTGATAGCCAAGGTTAGATCAGTGCGAATGACACTTTGTGTAGGGCAGGAACCTTTCCTCTTTCGTTCTGAAAACTAGGAAGTCACTCTCCTGTTGTTACTGTGTGCCTCAAACACCACAGTCCCTTTGATAACCTTCAAAGACCATAGTTAATAGGTTTCCACTCCCCCTTTAAGGTACCAGGTGAAGCCAGGGTTTGCAGACCCAGAAGACCAAGAGACAGGGTGAAACACTCTCTCAAGCTCACAGCAAAGGGATGTGAAAAACACGACCAACCCCAAAGAGACCTCAAGCCCAGAACAGAAAAGTGGTTCATCAGGAGACCTGGCACGCTGAGACGCTAAGAGCCCCTCTGTCTTTCTTCCCCACGGCCGGTGTCTGGGAAGATCCCTCTCCCGGCCAATTGCTAAGCTCCAGACCTTATTCTGCCATGAGCTAGCTATGCAACCCGAGGCAAAATACGAAGTGGGATGGCGAGAGGAACTCCTACCACCTTGTAAATGGATTTCTTTTCCTCCCCTGAGTGACCGTGACAGGGAAGATTGGAGCACACTTTCCTTTCCACTTCCTTCCCACGGCAATAACATGCGGTCAAAACCCACGTGAGCCAGGATGGCAGCTCCTGCCAGATAGTCCTGGGAGGACCACACTCTCTGGGAATCTATCTTGGAATGTATGTCGAGTTGCAGGCAGGCAGAATGCTGCGAGCAAGGTCTCAGCCAACAGACAGGAGGAATGATAAGCTGCAGGACTGGCTGGTACATCTGAGGAAAGCACCAAGGGGAGGGAAGGGAGGGATCCGGTGAGCACAAGGTGAAGATGGCCAAGAGGAGAACAGAGTCTGGGAGAGAATCATTGAAAGGCTCAGTAAGACAAATGCAGGCTGCTACCTCCAACTTCGTTTGTTTACCCAAAGCACCAAAGACTGCTGGGACCTCCTCATAGGGCAGTTAAGCATCAGTGATGACTGTAGGGGGAGTGTGGGGAGGGGGCCAGGAAAAATAAAATCTTTATGTACCCACGAAACAGTAAAATTCAAAAACAAAATAATAACCATAGTAGATAAATAAATAAAACCTTGGCTCCTATGCTATCTCTTAAGGAATTCTGAGTTTATAAGTACAGGGACTTAGTGGGGTTTTCGGTTTATGGGAACTTTTCTTGGAGTTTTGTTTTGTTTTGTTTTTGCCAACAAAATATAAGTTCCTTGGGCAAGCTAAAGATCATATAATGAATAATGTTCAACATATATATTATAGTTCAATGCATGCTAATTATGCCCTGCCCTTATCCAAAAAATGGCATGACATAACTTTAGAGGAAAAAAATGAAAAAAAGCATGTAAACCTCATAACAATTTGATGTCAAAATGAAGCACGCATGCGCGCACACACACACACACACACACACACACACCAGTTCGTGGTATTGTGCATGAATAGCAAGGATCAGCTGCATGTGAGCTCAAAAGTGTCCCCATGTGGCAGAAGAAAAAAACTGTCATTCTATTCTAGATATTGTCTGGTCCATTTTTAGACATGCTAAACTTCTAGATTTATAAAACCAACCCATTCTCCCAGCCCAGATAGAAAACTCCCAGAGTATTAGGTTCATTGCTTTCTTTTTTTTTCCCCACAAGTCAATGATTTGGGGATTCAATTTTTAGAATTTTATGATTATTATCACAATCCTGTTTAGAGCATTTCTATTACCCCCCAAAAGTTACCGGGAGCCAATGGTAATAGCACAACCTTCAACCCCCTAGGGGCGCCTCAGGCAGTCCCGATGTCCTGCTGCAGGTGGGAGCTAGCCCATGCTCTAAGACTTCTAGCAAGGGGTCCATCAATTCTCTTTGGGGACTGGCTGGTGAATCGTAATCCTCCTGTCGAGAAGTGTTCCCTGCACCTTGCACCACTGAGATTTATGTCCTTTCCTTTTGTTCTGCCTTCAGTACCTGAGAGAGACAGCCAGATACTAACAAAACCTTCAAGTGAATTAAGGTCAGTTCTAAGGCCATCTCCGAGCTAAGTTTTTTTCCAGGCTAACTCCCACCTTATGCCTGCCTCCTAAGCCCTCTTTTATCTGTTTATCTGACTATTTATACTGTTCCTCTGTCTTTGACCTCTCTGCCAGCCTTCTGAGGTTGGGACCCTGAGGTGGTCCAGGGCTACTCAGCAGAGGATTCATCTGAAACTTCTCAGGGTCATTCTCTACCTCCCAGCCTGCCTTCTCTCATTTCCACTTGTAGGTTCAGGACATTTCTGAGGGACATTTTTCTAAGCCCACGGCAGTCTCATCTTGCTTGGCAGGTGTAGGACTTGTCCCCAAGAGGTGAGCATGGCAGGAAAGCATAGCAGTGAGAAGTCAGGAAAAAGCAGAATCCTCCTGCTGTAGACAGACCTTAGCGAGCACAGCTGTCCTGGAGTTCAACGTGCAACCTTGACGCTAACCCTCTAGCTGCTCCCAGCCACCAACGAGGTTGAGAGAGGGAGAAACATAGGCAGGATGACACACACAGAAGGAAGAAGAGAGTAAAACAAAGGGGTTAAACCAGAAGGAAGAAAACTAGAGAAGAGGGAAAAAAGGCAAAGACAGTGAGAATGAAAAGAAGGTAAAGGAAAATGCACAGATAAAGAGATGATTTTTTAAAGAGGCCAGCAGCATCAAGGGGACAGAAATAGAGAAAAAGGAAACTGAAGCTGAAGGAGTCAAAGAAAAACATGCAGAAAAATTGAGGTAGCCCCCGAGGGAAGGGGAATGAAAAACTTGCAACTCTCCAGATGCGCACTCCCCCACCTTCTCTCTCTCCCCACCCCATTCTAATCTTGCCTGCAGGACTGAGCCAAAAATGAAAGTCCCCTCCAGTAGAACCTACCTCACCTGCAAAGGCAGCCAGCTGTCCCTCCTCGCTTCTGGGGGACGAATATCCCGTGTCTCAGGCTGAGGCTGGCAGTTCCAGGAAGTCCTCTGGAAGCTCTTGCCGGCTGGAGTCAAGTGTGGAAATGGCTTGGACGTTTCCTGTCCTGGTGTCTGTGAATCACCACCCCAGCCGTCCAGGCAACACAGAGTGCATATTCTCTCGGTGCTCAGGATACAAAATCCACATAAAGAGGCTCAGGGTCAGAGAAGGATCACTTGACAAAATTCTTCCCAGAAACTAGGTCGAGCTACAGCGTCTCAGTTTTTCTTCGATGTCTTAAGAAGAAAGCTCTTTGAGATTCCTCCCAGGAGCTAGATAGACTGCTCCCAGGGAGGAAGAAATTGCAATTCTTCATCTCTCGTGGAGGTGGGAAGAGCTTGTCTGTGCGGAGACGGGAACTCCAATATACCTAAGACTGTTATCACTCCTGGTGTGGCCCAGCCTGGCTGCCACTCCAAGGATAAGTTGTCCCCTCTAAGGGCTTCCCTTGGCAGCTCAAAAAAAAAATAATATTGATGTTGGTTTAACTGGGCAGTTGCTTAACATTCAAATTTCTGAAGAATCAGGAGTAAGATGAGGCAGCTTCAATGACTGGGTGGGGAAACTAGGAAGGAAAGTCCAGACAGGAAGCTTTGGGGCCCTGCTTCCTCCTCATCTTCCAAAAGTCCCAAATCCCTGTCCTGGCACTCCCAGCCCCTAAACCACTATGTGGGAAGTGCTCCCATTCGAGAAGCTGGGAAGATGTAGTCCCCTGGTCTCCCTGGATGCCCAAAGCAGAAGATAGAGAGAACAGTCTGGAAGGTTGCTACGGCAACCAGAGTCCCTGGTGAGCTGGGCTCTCCGCAAACCCTTTCAGGCGTGCTCTGACTTGAAAAGGAAATGTTTCCTCAGGGATGGTGATGAGGGTGATTACATACACATATACAGAGATACATGCATATCTGTCCTAACTTTTACCCTCCGCTAGGAGCTTCCCTTCTGCCTCTGGAATGGGCTCTTCTCTTCTTTCCCCAGATAGTCGGCAGTAACAAGAGAGGTTTGGAAAACTAGCACTTTCTGACCTCAGAGAAGGTTTTTGCATCATAAACACCTGTGTCTTCTACTGTATTTCAGGCATGGAGAAGCCAAGCACCCAGTCAAGGTGACCTCCAGCCATGGAAGGATCCCCCGAACACATCTAAAGAGAACCCTCCTTTCTGAAGGGTAAGAAGAAAGGCTGAGGAGCTCAGTCCAAGAGGCCAAGGAGGGATTTAGGGAGCTAATGCTCCATAATGGCCTATTCTTAGGAATCCTTGCTTGGGATCCAAGGCAGGAACTCAAGAGGAAGGCCTTTCCTGTGGGGTACAGGGAGAACTAAAAATCAAATCCGTGACTAAGATTCACACATTTGCATAGCAATGTCCCCAGCTTCCCAAACATGCCCCATGAGGTAGGGAGGGGAAGACAGTAATGCTCCCATTTAATGGGTGGGTAAACTGAGGCACAAAGAGGGACTGTGGACCCAAGTTACCCTGTAAAGCTGGGGCAAGATCGAGATTTAGATCTGGCACTCACAGAAGCCACATTGCCTCTCACGCAAACCCTCGTAAGGCTGTCCTCTTGTAAGTTGCTCTACGAGAAAATAATTTTTTTAAAAAAATTATCATCAGAGTCTGAAAGCGTAGATATAAAATTAAAAGCATGTTAACAGTCCTTTCAGTTTCAGAACTGCACCCAAAAGATCTCAGAACAGTACATCACAGTTTATCAAAGGCAAAAAACAAATGGCAATGTTATAGAGAGAGAAAAGAGGGGAGGTGGGCAGGTGGACAGATGGCAGTGGTCTCACAATGAGAGAAAATGGCTTAGGTCAAGTGGGAACGCTACCACATCACCTTACCAGTGAGAGCAGGTCAAATGCAGCTCCAAGGGGCAGAGCAGGCAAGTGTTTGCTTGACTCAGCAAAAAAGCCTCTTAGAGTGAGGCTGCGGGCAAAGGAATAACGCTTGTTCCTTATTCTAAACCACATATTTCACGCCCATAAAATAGGAAGAAACCCATGCTGCTATCCGATGTCTGGGGCTTTAAGCTGGAGTTTGCTTGAGGAAGCCTTCAACCGCAATCCTAAATCAAATTCCCAGGAAGCAAGGTACAGGGCTAGAGAAAACTTGGGGAAATGAGGGAGCAAAGGCTGCCATCTGCAACAGGATTCCTCTGCCCTTTTGAGAAAACAGTATCTGTTTAAGTGGCACCTGCTTCAGATTGTGGTCGAGCCAGTTGCTTGACTCTGTTCAGACCCTCCTCCTGACTCTGCTTCCCTTTCTCCAGCTCTTCTGTTCAGGAAGCCACTTGCACAAAAAGAGTATGTGGCTCTGAGAAAGAACCTTCTTGGAAGCTGGCGAGTCAGGGGATCAGAGTGGGGAGGACCCAATGTCGACCAAATACCAGTGCCTCTTGTGCTGGGGGCATGCCTTGCAAAATCCATTGGCCCCTTTGGTCCTAGACTAACCCCTGTGTCCTCCAAGTGGTAAAATTTGATTGTATTTTTTCTAATTCCATCCAAGTTTAGAAATGAAAAACCTATTTTGAGGCTGTGCAAATAAAGACTCTACCAAGGGTCATCTGCAGGATGCCCAGCAGGTGTTACAGAGCACTGGCGTAACAGCAAGGTGAGTGCTGCTGTCCTCCAGCTTCTTCCAGTTACCAAGTGGCCTAAAGCTAGGAAACGCACATGACCCAAAGCAAAGGACACTAAGGAGAGAACAAAGACTTAGGTATGGCTGGCTTCCATCCTGTTGACATTGCTGTTCCTAGAGATATTACAAGTCCCAGACATGAAAAATCAGTCTTGAGGGAAGGTCAGACCTGAATGTATATCTCATCCATGTGACAGAAGATGGGCATGATTGGGTGGCACCGTTGGAATTTCAAAAATGTCACATAGATGGATTAACCTTGAATACTGCAGGGATTAAGCAACAAGGTTGATAGTCCAGGTATTTGGTCCTGGATGCCAGGTAGTGGATGTAGGGGAAAGAGTCAAGAAGTCAACTGAAGCTAGAGTGAGTAGTGAAAATAAGAAGGAAGCCTAAGAGACTGTTAGCTCAGTGCTCTCCTGCTGCAGGCCCTGCCCGCATGGGTCAGACCTCGGTGAGCATTCTTTTCTCTGCATAGGCCCGGTGTGGAGTAGGAAGGTAGCTGGGTCTCCGTTCCCGGTTAGCCTCGGGGAAGTCAGTCTTGCCAAGTCCATTGTCAGTTGCCTTCATGTCCGGCGCAGGCTGCCCACAAGTGACGTGGGTATACTGGCCTTGCTCCTCCTGCTCCGTCTCCCGGTGGTAGAAGTAGTTGAAGTTGGAGACAATGACTGGCACAGGCAGGGCGATGGTGAGGACCCCAGCGATGGCACACAGAGAGCCCACGATCTTGCCCCCCACAGTCATGGGGTACATGTCCCCGTAACCTACCGTGGTCATTGTAACCACCGCCCACCAGAAGGCATCCGGGATGCTGGGAAAGAGTGAATCGTCATCGTCAGCCTCCGCGAAGTAGACGGCACTGGAGAAGAGGATGACCCCGATGAAGAGGAAGAAGATGAGCAGCCCCAGTTCCCTCATGGAGGCCTGCAAGGTCTTGCCCAGGATCTGCAGCCCCTTGGAGTGGCGCGAGAGCTTGAAGATGCGGAACACCCGGACCAGGCGGATGACTCTGAGGATGGCCAGGGACATAGCCTGCTGCCCATTCTGGCTGCCTCCTCCACTGGCTGGCTGCTGCTCCTGCTGCTGCACCAGCTCAGTGCCCAGGGTGATGAAGTAGGGAAAGATGGCTACCAAGTCAATGATGTTCATGATGTTTCGGAAGAAGGCCGGCTTGCTGGGGCAGGCAGAGAAGCGCACCAGGAGCTCAAAAGTGAACCAGACAATGCACAGGGTCTCCACCAGAAAGAAGGGGTCTGTAAAGAAGGAGCCCCCAAGAGTACTGAGTGAGGACGAGCCCCCGGTCCCCATTTCCCCAGGGGTGATGCCGTGATGAAATGTGTAGGAATCCTCTTCATCCTCTTCTTCCTCCTGACTCCCCCTGGAAACTGGGGAGACGCGGCTCACACCACCACCATTCCCTCCACCTCGACCATCTACACGGAACTGGGGCAAGGTCTCCAGGCAAAAGATGACTATGGAGATGAGAATGACCAACACTGAGACGATAGCGATGCCCCTGGCGGGCCCAGAGCTCTCCGGGTACTCGAAGAGCAGCCACACCTGGCGCTGGAAGGGCTGGGAAGGCAGCGGCTTCTCGTCCTCGCCACCCTCGGGCAGGCAGCCCTCGTCCTCCCGGAAGGCCGCCAGAGCCTCGTCCCCGAGCTGGTAGAAGCGGATCTCCTCCAGGAAAATGTCCAGGGGCACGTTGACCGGCCTCCGCAGGCGGCCCCCGGACTGGTAGTAGTAGAGGATGGCGTCGAAGCTGGGCCGGTTGCGGTCGAAGAAGTACTCGTTCCTCAGAGGGTCAAAGAAGCGGACCCGGCGGCCAGGGTCTCCGAGCAGCGTGTCGGGAAACAGCGACAGGGTGCGCAATTGTGTCTCAAAGCGCAGCCCGGAGATATTGATCACCAGCCGCTCGCTACTACAGCAGCCCCCGCCCGCGCCGGCCTCCGGGAAGTCTCCCGCATCCTGTTGCTCCCCCTCCGGCCCACGGACCTCCCCCGGCGCCGCCAGCGTAAGGGATTTCTCCGATCTCATGTCCCCTAGGCGGTGCGCTCCCCGCCACTAGGACGGCGCCCACGACACAACCTCTGGAGCGCGGCACCCGCTCCCCAGCTCCCGGCTGCGCCCTCTCTTTAGGGTGGGGCTCGCGCTCCTCCCGGTTCGCGGTCTGACCTGGCTGTCGGGTTCGTGAGCTCTGAAGCCCTGTCCCCTCAAGGCTGGGTCTGGGGAGGTGACTGGGCGCCGGGGATTTGGCTCTGCGCTTCCCGTTACCCGCGCCCGGGTGCTAGAGCTTACTGGGATGCCCGGAACCGCACACAGACGCGAGTCAAACTGGCTGCCCGAAAAGACGCGTGGCTTCGCCCCCAGAGGTGCCTGAGACCTGGTTCCGGGACACAGGGGTCCGCCCTCCAGCCGGTCTAGCTATTCCCAGTTCCCACTGCGCTCCTCCTGCCGCTCCGGACCCCCGGCTCCCGCTGGTACCGAAGCGCCAGATGCGCCTCCCTCCGGCTCGGCAAAGACTCCTGGCGGTGCTCGGCCTCCGCCCTGCGTCCACCGCTGGGCTGGGTCCGGCCAAGGTCGCGGTTCCGGCCGCCACAGCCGCCACCTCCTCCCGAGGAGCCGCGCCGCAGGCCTCGCACAGGGCCCTGGGCTGCCCCGGCCCCCTGGCGCGGGGACCCACCTCCCCACGGCTCAAGGCTTTGCTGCCGCCGCCGCAGCTGCAGCGGCTCGGCTCTCCGCTCTGCCCTTCCTTCCCAACACACACTCTCCAAGTGACGTGGCAGGCCCCGCCTGCTGCCCCCTCCCACCCCACTCCCACATCACACCCCTCGCCCAGCCAGGGGCTGCAGAGAGCCAGGGCGCCATGGAAATAGACGCACACTTGCCTCACCAGTAAGCTTTCCCGCGCTCTCCTGGCACGCCTCTCCCTTTCACACGTTCACATTCACGCCCCCCTTCACAAGCGCCGGCACCCTAATACCACACCCCCTCCACCCCCGCAATCGGCTTTTCTCATTTCGGTTACCGAGCTGACCTGCGCAGTGTATTTCATCAATAAGAAGACACACCCCGCCCCACCACACAATACAGAGCACTGTGCATCCACTCATCCAGAAATCTAAAGAAAACATTAAATCATGTATTCCTCTGTCTTTAGGAAGATTCGTTTGCCAACCTCTCCCATATCTACAGGAAAAAAAAAAATAGAGGAAGTATTTCTGAGATGTCTTGAGAGCTTCCAATTTGAATTCCAATAAAATTCTCCCTCTACCCTTGCAAGCCTAGGAGGGTGAGGCTGAAACTCTCTGAGAATTGCAAAGGGATGGTATAGAAAGGGTGGCAAGTCGATGAATGCCTTTCCCATCAGAAGTTTTCCAGGAGGAGCCCTGGGAGCCTGAGGCAACAGCCCCAGTGAGGGAGCCAGAAGATGGAAGCACCTCAGAGATAGTGCAGCCCAGACACGGGGCACCCTGGGGATCCTTTGCTTCCAGCCACCCCCCAGGGGATGCATCTGGAATTTCTGTTTATTGGGCAGCCCCAAAAAAGGAAGAAGAGGGCGAGTGGAAAAGGGGTATGTAAGATTGTTGATTGAAAAAATAATAGCTACATTTACTGGGCGTTGAATATGTGCCAGCCACATTGTAGGTGCTTTCCCAGAAAGATGTCCTCTGCTGGTAGGCCATGTTACAACAAAGACCCCTTTGGCAGTATTTGAGTAGGGCAGCACTTGTTGTCAGGGACCAGTTGACTCTCCCTAACTCTCCAGCAAGAAGGGGATAAGAATGGTTTTCCATTCATTTCTGTCTTTCTTCACCAGACCAGACAAGTTGGGGTCTAGTAGGGGAAGACTCACCTGATTTTTTCAGACTGATAGTTCCAGGTAGGGTTGACATTTGCTTCTCTGTGCCTCAATTTCCTCTTTTCTGGCTGGCTGTAGCCAAAATAAATTGGCTGACAACTATGAGGTGTGTTTGTATAGCTTCTGGTGCCTATTATTAGATCATTAGTACGCATTCGTTGAGGTTAATGATGAGAGTGACACATCAAGGTGCTCTTAAACCACAAGTTGCCTCTGAGAGTTCTTTGTATTGCACGGAGTGTTTTAAAACCACAGTGGTTCCCAGCAGCACTCGCTCTCGGAGGGCTGGAGGAAAGAGAGAACCAAGGCTCCTGGATGTGTCGGGAAGGGGTCAGGTGTTGAGTGGGTAAGAAAGATGCTGGCTTTAGAACTCACTGCATGCTCATTCTTCAGTCTTTCTCCTTGCCAGCTGAGCCAGGCAACAGCCTCTGCTCCCCTTCTGTGCTTGTACAGCTGATTTCTGGTACCAATACCCTGTGGGCTTTTTTGATCCCCCAGGAGAGAAATCAAAAGAGATCACAGCATAAAGTAGCAAAGAGAAGGTTTTTTATGAAAGCTTATGGGTGTGAGAAAGCAAACACCAAGAAAGGAAGTGGGCTGCTCTCCAAAGTCAAGGTGTGGGTTTCCTTTGTGGGGGTCTGCAGTAAGGGGAAGTCAGGGCATGTAGAGGTGAGGTTTTTCTGGCACATATGTGGTGGTTTAACATGCTGCTTCATACAACATATGCGTCATCAGCATCTGAAATCTACACCTCTGGGCATGAGTTTTAGTTTTAAAATAAAGAAAAGTTCACACTGAGGTGAAAGTTAAGCCTAGCTAGGCACGCAGAGCCTCAGGAAGGTCCCTAGTTCCCTAAACCAAGGGGTTAATTAATTTGAGGTGAATGGCTTCTTGGGCCTCTGATGCTGCCTGGCTGGGAGTTACAGCTTAAGTAAGGGACTTTTGTTCTTTTTTCTCCAAGCCACACATCACAACAGGAGAGCAGCCAGCTTGCCCGTCTCATACATTTCCACTCCATTCTCTCACCTTGCATGTCTCAGTGAAGCGAGAGAAAGCAAGTACACGGAGTCATCCAGAGGAGCTTTCTCACTTACAGCCTATGTCAATAAGTAATTTAGACTCCACACAAAAGTTGCTCTGTTTTTTTTTTTTAAAAAAGTTTGAAATAAAAGAAAAGGAAAACAACAAATACAATATAGAGATACTCTTTACCTTCATCCAATTATCCATCGTTATTTTATGAGTCATAAATTGACTAACCCACGATTCTTTCGCTTTTTGTTTTCAAAATTTGTAATGAATGATTCATCTGCAGGTTGGTTTTCATCATTGCCAGTTTTATTCACGAGATTAGCAACTCGGTCAGTAAGTCTTCAGAACCAACCCTGGCAAAGCATGGGACGGCACCTGCATTCTGCAGAAGAGTACCCACCCTGATAAGGCATCAAGAACCTCCTCCATCTGGGTACCCCGTGGGTTAAGCCTGGCTGGGCTGCCTGCCACCCTACAGGCAGAGCTGATGTTCCATGGTTACCTTCACATCAAGCATGAGGTTGTGCCCCAAGAGAGGTTTCACTGTGCCAGGGGAGGTTCCCCTGAGAAGGAAAAGCCATTAGCAAATTCATGAATCAGAGTTCTGTTTTTAGTTGTTTGTGAAATAGACTCATTTTTTAGTTTAAGAAAAACCCTATCCCTAGATCACTCCTCCCAAGTGTATGTTGAGTACAGTCACACCTTCAGAAGTGCCAGTTCCCGGGTGAAGGAAGACACAACTCTATCCGTAGACACTGCCAAGCCGCTTCCAGAGGCAGGTGATTGTTTCCCCAGCATTCACCAAGCACCAGTTTCATACCAGCAGAGATTTTCATGTTATTTTTTGTGGATTTATCTAGATTCAGATGTTTGCCATGGTCATAGCGGTGATTCATTTATTTCAAAAGTATTTATTGAGCAGCTACTGGGTGCCAGCATGGTGCCAGGTGCTGAGAATTTAGCAGTGATCTATGCACAATATCTGCTTTGATAATCATACATTTTCATGCAATGAACAAATTACATTCTAGACAGAAAATGCTTACAGTAGACAATAAGGAAGATGTTTTCCATATTGCAGTAAATGCTTTGAGGAGGATAGATGGGATGCCATGTCAGAAATGAACCTGGGGACTCAGTTTTGCAAGGGTGACTGGAAAAGTTCCCACTGAAGAGGTGGTATTTCAACTGACAATGCAAAGAGGAGAATGGAGCCTGGCACGGTGGCTCAAGCCTGTAATCCCAGCACTTTGGGAGGCTGAAGCGGGTGGATCACCTGAGGTTAGGAGTTCAAGACCCACTTGACCAACATGGCGAAACTCTGTCTCTACTAAAAATACAGAAATTAGCTGGGTATCATGGCAGGTGCCTGTAGTCCCAGCTGCTCAGGAGGTTGAGGCAGGAGAATTGCTTTAACCTGCGAGGTGAAGGTTGCAGTGACCCAAGATCGTGCCACTGCACTCCAGCCTGGGTGACAGAGCAAGAGTCTGTCAAATAAATAAATAAATAAAGCAAGCCACAGTGCCAAAAGCAGAGAAGAGCATTCTGGACTGACAAGCGCAAAAGCCCTGAGCTAGAAAGGTCGTAGATATTCAAGGTCATAAAGAAGGTCCTGTGCTGGATGTAGAATCGGCAAGGAAAAGGGAGGTGCAAGATAAGACCGAAGAATTAGCTAGGGTACCATCTTATAGGGTGAGGTGTTCGGGTTTCATCTTAAGGGTTGTATGAAGCCAATGATGGTTTTCAACATCACCCACCCTGGTGATGTGATTGATTTACTTAAAGGCTGTGAGGGGAATGAATTATGAAGAGGTAGAAGAAGAAATAGAAAGACCAGAAAATTGCAGTCGTCTGGAGAAAAGATGACATTGACTTGGACCAGAGAAAGGTAGAGTGAGTAGAGCTAGAGTGGAGAGGAGGTGAGAGGAACTGAGGAGGTATGTTTAGAATATAGAATCAGCAGGAATTGGTCACCGATAGAACGTGAGAAATAAGCAGCCAATGGCAGGTTCAAGCAACTAGGTAGGTAGGTGTTGCCCTTTACTAAGAAAGAGAAGACAAGGGGTTAAACAAGTTGGGATGTGTCAGGACCTCACCTTTAGATGTATTAAATTGGAGAGGCAAATTATACATGCAAATGAAGACATCAAGGAGGCAGTTATTTATTCAGGTCTGGAATATGAATAAGAAATTTATGATTTATGAATTTAAAACACCTAGAAATATATAAATTCATGGCACGAACTTCTTTTGGAGAAACAGAATATGGACAATGAAGAGAAATGACCAGAAGCAAGTCCTTCACAGCAGTCCTCAATCGACCGATCAAGGTCAGGAGAAAGGGCAACTGGCCAAGGAGGCTGAGGGGTTCTACGTGAGGTCAAAGGAATGCCAAGAGACAGGGAGGCCCCGAAGACCAACAACTGAGACTAGACCCCAAGGGTCCCATCCTCCTGGGGCCACACTGGCCTTCCAGTGGAACACATGATCTACAGCAGGTCAGAAGCATGTCAGGGGCATCCATGGGAAGAGCCACCTAAGAATGGATGTACGTGCCCAACAAGATGAGCACAGATAACATGAAGCATCATGTGATAACCATTTTATTCTGACCTCTGCCCCAGGCTCTAAAATATACCTGTTCCAGGCATATAAGTGATCATGAATGATCTATCTGCCAGGTTTTACATTTTTACTTTGCTCTGAGAGTGTGTGTGTGTGTGTGTGTGTGTGGGTGTGTGCATGCGCACACGCCTGCGCTGTCATCACTCTGGTAATACGATCCCTGAAGTTTTCCTCTTTCTCTATGTAACTCTGGGAATGGTTCTCCTCCTGGCCCTGTCACCCACAGGCCTCTGGCTGTGAGGATGGGGTGGCGAGTGGTCAGCTC